TATAGTAAGAATTAAGAGCGTGCTTATTTGCTCATTACTTTTCCACATGATTTGACATAGAATATGAGATCTGGCCTTAGCTGCGGGCATGTTTGAATGATATGCGCTAGTGAAAGAAGCATATAATGCACATACATATGCATGAATGCTCTTTGATGCTCATATCTTTGTAGATTTACATTCAGACATGTAAAATGAGAATATTTAGGGACTCTTTGTGTTAGAGTTATGAATTGGCTGGGTCTGTTTTAGGTAGATTTATTAAAGTGTTTGTTAGGTAGGATTTATTATATAGTGTGCCCTAGAAGGTCCTTTTCCTTCTTCCTCATTGATGACTCAAGATCAATAATTAGACAGCAGATATGTGAGTGGATTCCAAGGCTTTGTTTGCTTTTAGTTTGTGCAACCTGAGAAAGGCCTATTCAATAAAACATTTGAAAGAAAAGGGGCACAAATGGACATATGTTCAGCATGAAATCTGAGCACATTCTTTTGATGAGCCATAATGAAGAAAGTAAGAGTTCAGAATGTTAGTGATTCAGGAAAGTGCTTTTGTTGTATTAATGAAGGAAATGTTTCTTATGCTTCTAGTAAGCCATTTATCATGTATTACTATTAATGCATTCTGTTTGTTAGTAATCCCAAATAAAATTTCATCAGTCTATTACCCCATTAGCCAAGTAGACTGAAGCTGTCTGCAGCGCCCTTTCTTAGGTCAACTTCCTCTACATTTATGTTGAGCAGAGCTTCACTGACCAGAAAAGAGCAAACCACTGCGGTCTAGTGAACTAGCACTGTTGGTATGACTCACACAGGGAAAACTATGCCATGCTTTTGTTCTTAGACTGGTCCCTTTTCCCTCTCTCCTCCTCCTTCAGTGATGGTATGTCCATTGGGGTCCTCATGTCCTATACACTGATGACTCACAGGACCTTAGACCGCTGCAGCAGATGGGGAGCGGGGCGGAAGGGATCGGTCTAAGAGCAAGCCAGCTCAGAATATAACTTTGGTTAACAAACCTAAAAAACAAGATTTCATATCTGTGTTGTGTTCCTCATATCAGTGTTGTGTCTTAGTGAATGTCTGTTATTTTTGTTTAAATTCATCTGATGGTGCCAAATATCTGGAGATCTTGCCAGTTACCTTTTGATTGCCTTTTCAAACTGACCATGCCAAGCAAGGAAGCAGATCCATACTGGTGTGGTCCGTTTGCGTCTTGGGGATCCTTGCTGGAAGATGCAGGGCACCATGCCTATGCATGGTATGTCTGTATCTCCTGTAGTCAATGTTGTAGCCACTCCCCCCAGTCAGGCCTACCTGTATTGATTTGAAGTTGGTCCCAGCTGCTTCTGCATACACAGACATGGAAGTATTTCCATGGCAAACGTACACGATAAAGACTTTTCTACATAGCTGTGTCATTTAGTTTAGTTTTTTTAATCAGTTGTTGCATGGTTTCGGTTTCAATTCAGCTTTGTTGGCAATGTGTAAATGTTACTATGTTACTCCATAGAGCTTTGCACAGTTGTGCTGTGTATAATTGCTAGCCAAGTAAGCAACATTTCAGACATTTGCTTAGCACAAGGTTTTCACTGATTTCTGATGTTTGTGGCAGTGTAAAAAAGTATATTTTATGCTCTGCTCTTCCACTTTTATAATTATTTGGAATCATTTAAGTATTTGAATTCCATGGTTTTTTTTTTCCTTTTGTTACTGAAGTTTCACAGATTAAAAAGTAAACTACAGAAGATTGATCTGCTGGTGCTAGGGGAATTCACCCTGTTGTACCATTAGACATTTAGGAATGTGCCATTAGCAGCAGCTTTAGTGTCATTACTATGCATTATCTGCTTGCATTATAAAGGGGAAGCTGCCCATTGTACTAGCAATTTTTTTCATTGTGTTTCTGACCATGTTCTTTAAAAATGATAATTGAACCTGTCACTCTGTTTCGATTAATTTTGTTTCTTCTGCTGCAAAGAAACTCTGCTATATCTGCCAGAAGATATTTTGACAACTTGCCACAGAGTATTCACTTTTCTTCTGCAGTACCCCATAAGGAACTAAAGAGCTGCACAAAGTATGAAAAGGTTAATCGGAAATCAAATCAAATATTTTAATTTAATTAACACTAACTGACATTTGCTGGCAGTAGGCTTGTGATAACTGGGGATAATGCAGCATTTTTTTCATTTACAGTACCACATCCCACTGCCTGCTGTCTGGGGACCACTATTTAATCCAGTGTTATTCAAATCTGCCCTCCGGTCCCACCAACAGTACATGTTTTTAGGTCAACACACATGTGCACAGGGAAAGAAATGCTGTGTGATTTCTGCACAAAATAATCTATTAGTTGGCTTGGGAACATGTTTTGAAAACACTGGTCTACATTGTGGTTACCAGTGTCTAGTTATTCCTTTTATTTTTCTTCCAAGTAATGGCAGTACCTAGGTATTGGGCACCTTCAGTGAAAACTGTATATATCAGGCGATCAGTATATTATTGGCAGCTGAAGAGAAGAGCAGTTTTAAGGTTTCCCTGTAAAAGTCCATCTTAAACCAGGACCAAGCCATCTGGTAGGCCAAGGAGATCACCTTTACATTGAAGTTCCAATAGGAAGGTGTGAGAGGGAGTAAGGCTGAGCTTTGCTTTTACAGTAGAAATTAGGAGCTATCTATATTTTTGGATCTGATATTCCTTCTGACTTAACTGTGTTTAAATGTCCAGACTTATTTTATGTTTGTAATAAAGAACTGTAGGAAAATATTAAAAAACACCCATTTTACATCCTGCTAGTATAATAATCTTACATTTTTAAGTTCCTAATACCCCTAGACATCAGAAATCTAACTTGGGAGTCATAGTGACTGCATTGTGAGTTTGCCACTGGTAGCTTTATGAACAACCCTAATTCCAAAAAAGCTGGGACACTGTAAAATATTCATAAAAACAGAATGCAATGATTTGCAAATCTCATAAACCCATATTTTATTTAGAAAAAAGAAAACATATCAAATGTTTAAACTGAGAAGAATTACCATTTTAAGAAAAACATAAGGTGATTTTACAATTAATGGTAGCAACAAGTCTTAAAACTGTAGATTTGACACAGCATCCCAATTTTTTTGGAATTGGGTTTGTAGTTGTAATGTAAAGATGTTTTCGCCTTCTCTACGTATAAGCTGGTAGAACTTTCAGTTCCCAGACACATAAAATGTTAGTTGCCCCATCCAACAAAGAACTAGGAATTGTGAACATTATCAAATATTCTTGAATATACTGTACCTGAACTATTTAGACACTATGGATGCACGATACCGGTTTTCGGTATCGAGTACGAGTAGCGATATTTTTTTTCCGGTGCTCGCCAATACCGATACCGGAAGTCCCATTAAGGAAGCCGGGTGGTGTGTAATGACTCGCTGCCCCTGGCTTTCTGATTAGCCGAGAAGCTGGGCGGCATGTAGTGACTGGCCACCAGGCTTCCTGATTAGCTGGGTGACAAGGAAGCATAGAGCCAGCTTTATGACCAATCAAGAAGCCTGGGGGCGCGTAATGGCTCACCACCTGGCTTCCTGATTTGGCCAGCTTCCCAACCAATCAGGAAGCCGGGCGGCGAGTCATTACATGGTGTCTGGCTTCCTGTTTGGTCAGGAAGCCGGCTCCATGCTACCTCGTCACCAGGTGACGAGGAGCATGGAGCTGGCTTTCTGGCCAATCAGTAAGCCGGTGGGCGGATAATGACTCTCCACCCTGATTCCTGATTGGCCAGATTCCCAGCCAATCAGGAAGCTGGGGGCGGGTCTTTACATGCCGCCCGGCTTCCTGATTGGTCGGGAAGCCGGCTCCATGCTCCCTCGTCACCAAGTGATGAGGGAGTATGGAGCCAGCTTCCCGGCCAATCGGGAAGTCAGGGGGCGAGTCATTATCCTCCCCCCCCCGGCTTCCTGATTGGCCGAGAAGCCAGCCTAATGCTCCCTGGTGACGAGGGAGCATTGAGCCGACTTCCCGGCCAATCAGGAAGCCGGGCAGTGTGTAATAACTCGCCACCGGGCTTCCTGATACAGAAAGTTCCGGTATTGGGATAGGCATCGGGAGCATTTGGGCGAGTACGGGTACTCGCCCAAATACTCAGTATCGGTGCATCCCTAGTAGACACCCCTTGGACTAAGCAGTCTTGGTTGAAGAATTATTTAACAAGTGTTCTCATGATACAAGGGTGGTGGCTGCATCTCAGTCGGCTGATCATGAAAGGTTCAGATCCTCCAACCACCATCTTATGTCTGTGAACATTTTTCATTTTTAGACATTGTTGCAGTTTGTATGCTTACTGCTAAAGGGCAGTAAGGATAAGTATCTACAGGCAATAACAAAGCAACGTGGAGGTTCGTTGCAAGTTTACAGCTCCCATTTTCCACATGGAGTTGGGGATTTGACTAGAAAAATTGTTTCCTCAATGCTGAAAATTACAGGCACATAACGATCCATCATGCTATTCCATCAGAAGGACATCTGATTGGTTTCAAATTTAAATTCTACAGCAGGACAGTTACCCCAAACATACAGCCAGTCATAAAGAACTATCTTCGGCAAAAACAACAAAGAGTCCTGGAAAGAGATCAGAGCCCTGATCTCAACATCAATAAGTGTGTCCAGGATGATGTGCATGGTCACATGTCCTAGTCACATGTGCCAGAGTTCTAGGAAGTAAAGGGAGATGTATTAATAAAAATGGCCACTGTGAAAAGACTGGAGAGGAAAAGAAAAATAAGGCATGTAAAGAATACAAAGCCGGCAATTATCTAGAAGTATGTGTTTGTAGTTTGTCATTACTTAACATTTCTAAACGTGCCTTTGTTGTTTCAAACATATGTGTAAAGTTCCTCTTTAAATGTATTTGGCTGGAGTTCTGTTTTGAAATCCAATACACTTGTAATGATGCATGTCTAATTTTATGAGCTTGGTCACATTGTCATAAGTGTCAAATATTTTTGCAGTTTCAGTTTCTAAGAACCCAAGTGCCTCAGTATCCCCTGTAAAAGCTATCAGACGGTCCATGCAGTCCCCTCAGAAGCCTGTGCTGGCGCAGAAAGGAAGGAAGCCTATGCGCGACAAGCCTCTTGAAGAAGCTCCCAGCCCGTCAAGAAAAGGCAAGCGTCCAAAAAACACCACGCTGGCAAGAAATGTGCTAAACACTGATAACCTAAAAAGGAGGAGGGGATTAAAACCAGGGAGGAAGGTAATAAAAATATGTTACATTTGTAATGATTATATATTTTTTCTCTGGCTTTTAATGTTGTGAAAGTGAATGTTATACATTCTTTTTAAAATGTTGCCTGTAAGTTGTCTATAACTTCTCAGCCAAAGCTTTCTGTAGAACCTCTATTTATTTTGACTTTGCCAGAAGGCAGATCATAAGTCGGCATTGTTCCATACTGTTTGTGTACTCATATAATGAAATGTGCAATTTTCTAACCTCAGCTATTTTATAATTAATACAGGAAAAGTAATATTCCATAGACTGTTATCCTTTATTTTCTTTCTAGAAAGAAATCCTGCCATTGCATCAATCTCTAACTGCCGCCGAATCGAATGGAGACATCAGTAAATCCCAAATTATTAAAGATGCTGTGAGCGCTATGAATTCTCCTATGGCAGTCATTTCAACAGGTACGTATCTCTAAGTAATGGTTCTTACTAACCCAGGCCTGGGCATCTACGGCCCACGGACTGTATCCGTCCCTTTGTCTGTGTCTGTCTGGCCCGTGGTCCAACCATGGATCGATCGCCAACCTATGCTCATTTATGGCTCGCTGACCGTGGATGTGTCGTTCTCCAAGGCCATTGCATCCACTGCAAGTCATAGCCTAGAGTCGGCGATCAGGCCGTGTCCAAACCACATTTTTCTTCAGACATTGGTTGCTAGGTCCATTGGTGTCCTAGCAACCATTGACATCACGGATCCTTCTTCTCTGGTTGCTAGGAGTGTTGTCATTCATTCCAGAACAGTCCCAGTTTCCCATGTGGCCCCTTCAAAAAGTTAATTGCCCACCCTTGTGCTAACCTATTAAATTTATTTCAGATGTCACATAAAGATTTCCAGATTTAAGGACTTTACTAATATCTAATGTTTTTAGTTTTGACTATGCCAAGCCCCTGGACATAGTTCATGTGTGTTGAGGAGAAATTATGATGCACAATTGTAAAACGTGATCCAAGAGTGAAATGGTTTGCAGAACATCATACCCTCTTGGCGTTTAGATTTAGGCTTTCAATTTAGGATATCCCAAAGCTTCTAAATACATGCCCGGATTCAGCAGCTCCGTTCTTAATTTTGAACCGCGGGTTTGCCGCTTACCATTACTAGCCCCGCCCCCCTGTCACTTTTAAAACCGGCGGATTCCCGCCACCGTCTTATCGTTCTACCCGAGCTTGAAAAAGAGGTAGTACCTCGAAACGCGTCGCTCTTTTTCTCCCTGAACCCTCTCTATCCTATCACTGATCCGACCACTCGGCATCTGTCAGCTGCTCCAGCACACAGACTCTCGTACACTGTCCCAAGCAGACCTGACAGGGACCTAGCGCTGACACCCACAGCCGCGGCTGCAACAGCCCTGTCTATTGCCGACACCACCGGGTTCCCCCTGGTTCTCCTCCACACCGCCCATAGCCCGCATTTTCCTAGCGGCACTACGTACGAAGTCCCCTCTTCACGCTCACACCCTTCTGTGGATGTACTCCTCCAAGCAGCACACCGCTAAAGTTGGACACACATCACGAGTGTTCCGATCCTCCACACAGGCCGCCCATCTCCTGATCCCAGGATCCACATGTAAGTGCCACCACTTTGATTCTCCGCTACATCTTGTCCAGCCAGACAGTGTTTTTTGCGCCCTTTGTGTTCTTTTGATTATCTGTATTTACAGGTTCTCCTCCTGTTTCCCAGGGCTGCATACATGTCTGCTAGCTAGCTCTTCCCATCCGAGAGCGCTGTTTATGTTTTTTCTGTTTTTTACCTGCTGAATTTAAGGCTCATGAAACTTTATGGGAAATGCATTCACTTCTTCAGCCAGTTCTCTCATTTAGACATCCCTTCCAGACTATACAGAGTCTCCAATGCAGTCAAAGCAATACAGCTTGGTCAGGACTGTTGAAAATGGCTAGTGAATGTGCAGCACAGGAAAGGGCATCTCTGTGCGGTCTCCTCAAATCAGCAAGCTCCTTTTGTAAGATTCATAGCACTATGCAATATAGCAAAGGCAATTTGGCTTGCAGTGCTGCTCCAAACTCCCAGTCTGAATAATGTTTAGTCAGCATTGCAAGGCAAGGTAAAGACAGATTTAGAAGTAAAAAAATATATAATATATTGGTCTCTTTTATATCCGCCTGCACATACACTTTAAAAGTGTGCCAAGCGCAGCCAGAGGCAGAAGGGTTTTGGATTGTCTGTAGCCGTTTGGCTTACTTTCAGGTACTCTAAAACTGACACCTTGAAAAATGCAAAACTCCATTGACACTGGCACAGTTCTTGTACTAAGCGGTAAGCCAGGAAAAGTGTTTGTGATGCAGAATGTTGTTATTTTATTCACCATTGTTCTGTTTTTCTTTCTTCATCGACATTATTTTGTGTTTGTTTCCTTCAGTTTGTGTGTATGTGAACAAACACGGCAACTGTGGACCTCATCTAGATAAGAAGAAAGTGTTACAGCTTCCTGATCATTTTGGGCCTGGCCCAGTGAATCTAGTGCTACAGCAGGCAGTGCAAGCCTGTGTAGACTCTGCATATCATTGTAAAGTAGTGTTTGGCTTTCTAAAGTCTGGTCATCATGGAGGAGAAATGATAACTGGTATGTTACAATGTTTCTAATAGATATGTTATATGTTTCAGCCAGATGCATTTTAATAAAACATTTAGAAATATTTGTATACATGGTTGTTACAACCTTTTGTAAATATTTTTCATAATTAGTGAACTTGCAGTTACAAGAAGGTGTATTCAGCCATTCTTCAATGTAATGTTGAAGTAATCCGTTTTATATTGCTACTGAAGTTCTCGTTTGTCATGTCTGTGACATGACAGACAGCAGAGTGTTACTTTTATATAGTAAACATTGCCATGTTTCCTATGCTCCTCAGATTTATCAGCTTTCAATGTTTTGCACTCTTTTTATTTTTGTTATATTTAGCATCTTTCGATGGGGAGAAACACTCTGTTCATCTGCCACCAGTCAACAGTGCGTCATTTGTATTACGTTTCTTGGAAAAACTTTGTCACAGTTTGCAGTGTGATAACCTGTTCAGTAGCCAGCCGTTCAGTCCATACATGGGTCCATTGCATGGTCCAGCAGACTACGACAGAAACAAAGCCTGCAAGAATCCACTGTCAGGAGGTGGGTATGTTTTTTTTTATTTTCACAGAGTATGCAGAATGTGCAATAATCTAAAGCTCTGGAACATTTTGACTAGACACCAAGGAATAGTGATGTGCAAAGTGCATGGCAAATGTCTCTTTTTCACTAGAGCAGACAAGACGGTGAAAGATGAGTTCTGATTATTTGTATTCTGCTCTTTTGTTACATGAACTCTACTTTTTATTGATCTATGTGATGTATAGGTGGCCATCCATTATAAAGCGTTGTCTAGAAGAGTAATCGTTTTAGAAAAGTATGCTAACTATGAGTAATTTTAGTTCTTTTATTCCATTTCCAATTTCATTTAGAGAGAATGCAATAATGTAACTGGCTATTATAGGCAGGAAAGACGGATACTTTTCGCTCTTAGTCTACTGCTTCTGAATCTAGAAGTGTTTTATTAAGAGAAAAACAAACTATTCTCATTTTACAAATACGGGTCTGTCAAAAATGCAATTGTACAATGACATTATTTTTTATGCTAATTTTGAAATGGTAATATATTCAGCAGCAGTATACTGAGAAGTAAAAAAACATAAGTGCATGAAAACATTAAAGAGCATAATACAGTTAATGCATATAAGATCACTTATGAGTAGATCATTTCCAAAACGGACCATTTAGAAAATATTTTGCTTCGCATATGCTGATGTTCCTGTTTTCTCTTTTTGAAGCTAAAGAGGAGATTGCAGATAGGAGCAGCAAAAGATTTCAGCAGGAACCCCCTCCCTACTCAGCACCCCTTTCCCCAAAGTTGCCCAGGACAGAATCATCTCATCCATCTGAAGGTAGACAATCATGGAGGTCTATTCTGTATATAAACCCTATGCAAACGTTTTGATCACATTCATTTATCTTAGGGCAGAACACCTATAATGCCTTGATGTTAATGGATCTTGAATGTTTCAAAGAGGTCCTAAAGACAGAGTTAGGCCTGCTGTACACCTAAGAGGGGCTCTTGGGCCCCTTTCACACAGCCGGTCCAATCGGATCCGCCTGTCAGTTTTTCAGGCAGACCCGTTCGGGTGCTCAATGTAAGTCTATGGACAGCCGTGTGTAAGCGGATGGGCGTCCGTTTACACCCGACTCTGGCCGGGTCCGGAAAAATGAAGGGATCAGATATCCGTTTCGCCAGACCGGATCGGGTATAATCTGATGAAAACGGACACATGTATGCTTACATCCGATTCCCCATAGACTGACATGGGATGCGGTAATTGCAGTTTTTTCCTCCATTTAGTGATGGAGGAACAAATTGTATGGACACAGATGTCACAGCGATAACATACAATCCATACTGCTGTGATCTGGAGAAGATCCACGCACCTTATCCTCTCCTGATCAGCCAGTGTGAAAAGGGCCTTAGGCTTCTCCAAACTCATATGTTTCCATCATTCAACCATTCATGTTCATGTTTAGGCTTAAGAAGGGAGGTGTGCACATACCTCTGGTAGCAGCCTATCAGGGGGAAGAAACTTTTCAACTTGTCTGAATACTTCTTCCCCCAACAAGCTCTCTGGGTCTGAATGTTCTTCTGACTTTAAACACTTTCCACTTACTCCTGATTTGCAGTTCTGGACTTGTAAACTAGTAGAGCTGATGGTTAGAATTTCT